CACCCATCCAGCCGCCGCTCTAAGATTACTGAGGATGGACTGATTCACCATAAATGTTTTACCTATAAAATACATACAGGAAGACCATAGAGGGCACAAACCCTAAACAGAATACACTATATGAGCAAATGATGATGTGAAGAACAAGCTTGGTATGCTAGCAAACAGTAAGATGTATTCCACCGTGGATACACGTCCGTTTGTGGAGATGACAAAGCAGTTATGTGATCTTGTGTGACGTCGTCGCTCCCGCGTCACGTGCTGACTGCGAGGGTGCTGCCAGTTACTGGTTGGAACAACTTGTCTTCAGCAGCTGGATCTCTCACAGTTCCTCTTTCTGACAAAAAACAGCAGTAAACGTATTCAATAGTAATACTGGATAAGTATACAAATAGAAAAAAATAAATTTAGATAAGACTAAATCTGACCTATATATATATTTATGAATGAAGGGTTGAGGGATGAACTACCACTGTGTTCTCCCACATACCCTGTGAAGCAGGCTTTTTTGTTGTCACTTGTGGCCTCTGGGTCCGACTACCGTGTAGATCAGACTCTGTCACTGTTATCTGTGCAACCCTCTCTCTCCTGCTGGGATCCTGACTCGGGTCACTCGAGGCTTCATCAGAATCAGGACCGAAGTAACCACAATCTGAACATTATGAACGCAAATTATAGACCATAACATATTGACCTTGCAAGTATGTAACATTGTATAGACACATCTCCAACAACCCTCGGTACCTGACACACTAGTTCCGACAGCAGTCGCCCCATGGGCAGGCTGTCGTTGATGTCCATGTCTCTCTGGATGGGAATAGACCTGTAGTTGGGTTTAGCCACATTCCCCGCAATACTCAGTGTGACAGTCTCAGGGGTATGCTTGGGGATGATATCGCATAATCAACCGTTTATCGCTGAATGGAGTTCTAATAATCTGTTTGAAAACATCCGCGGCAAGTCCCAGAAATACGATTGTTCAACTAGTTAACTTTTCACACTATACATCCTTTGATCTTAGAAGCGCATGCATGCAATAAAAGAGAACCACAAGCGAAGTTTATATTCTTAATTAGTGGGCAATCCAATTTGAGGCGACACTGTCACACACGTGTAGTTGCTGTCACAACACGGCGGTCATTCCTTTTGATTCGGATCCTCCAAGGTGGCCCCGGGACCGACAAGGAGCGACGCCAGGTGGCGTAGGGCCTGGACTCTATCCTGGGCCTCTTCCCGGGTCAGCCTCCCACTCCCCGTGAAGTACAGGGGCAAGTGTGCCATTTGTACGTGTTGCTTGAGCTTCCGGGACCTCACTCCGCATCCTGGCACCGGACACGCTGAACACCGGTCCCTGGTCACCCCACGGGAACGCGGGGTAACCGCAGAGACGCTCGGCCGACGTTGGGATGGGGAAGTCGCAGAGTTCCTGGGTGGTACTGGTACTTGGAATTCTGGTTCCCGCCGTGGGTGACTGTGCGAGTGTCGAGGGACAGAGGACCGCCGCCTGACAGAGGACCGCCGCCTTGAGGGCGACCATCCCCCGGTCACTTGGCTCTCCCCGCCCTCCGCTCCTGCAGGACACCAGACCTGCAGCGCCTTCTTTCTTGCCCCGCCTCTACTCCCCTCATCCCATGACTCGTTGGAGGAGCTCGCCCGACCTCTCTTCCGGGCGTTCCTCCCCACCTTGTCCATGTCGGTCATGGTCATAACAAACCAGTCATCCACTTTCATAATGTGGGAAGCTGTTTCTCTTGTCTTTTTTTAACCTCATAATGACTGTTATATGTTGCCATCAACAACGAAGCGTCATTTTGTGAATCGGTGTATATAGAATTATGAACCTGTGAGAAAATGTACCAACAAATGAAAACACAAGTCAAATATTTAGTTTCAAATGATTGTATTTTTGGTTATTTGTTTTGTGTACAAATAACTAAATAAGAACATATATACGTTATCATGTATACATAAATATATATGCTTAGAATTTTACGCTTCACATCACATCATCCCTGGTAAATCCATAAAATTTGGTGTCGCTGTACTCTCCGGCCAGAATTGCCCACGCAGCTACGTCTGTCCCATCGTCGTAATAACCATCGAGGTCATCACATGCCATGACACCTTCCACATCCGTAGAAACCAGGGCTTGGGAGACAAACTCCTCAAACAAAATGTCATCTTCAGAATCGTCCATTGCCCCGTTTGAAATTCCACATTTCAAAAACGACTTTTGCACCACGTCCGTGGGGACCCCATCCCAAGACTCCACCACCCACTTTGCAACTTCTGCGACTGGAGCTCTTCTCACAGCCTTCGACTTGGTGAAGGTGTGGTCGCCGTGTAGCATCCACTCTGACCACTTCTCCCGGACGCTGGCCTTGAATGTTTTTTTAAGGCATACGTCATGGGGCTGGAGAGGGGATGTACAGCCGCCTGGGATGACTGCCTGGTGCGTCTTGCTTTCTGTCAATTTCTTCTTTACAGTCTGGCACAGGTGAGCTCGAAACTGTCCATGCCACCCGGCCTCGACACCAACACGTCTGTCACCCATCGGTTTACTAGGGTTTCGTCCATCCATCCTTTGGGCTGTACAGCTACAACAACTCCAGACGGACACTTGTCTTTGGGTATTGTCTTCCTTTTGAACACAACCATAGGTTTTAGTTTAGTCCCATCAGCCATACAGGTTAAAACAACAGTAAAATGCCAACTGTTCTGGAGCCTGGCATATCGAAGTTCAACGGTGTTTCGTCCATATTGCCGATTTGACAAAGTTCATAAGCCATAGCCTTCCGTTCCTTGATGACAAAGGCATGAAACAAGTCCACTTTTGTGTCCTGAATTCAGACCTCTGGTGGGTTCCAGCTCCGCCAGGAGCGCCACCAGTACTCGCCAATGGGCGAGACAGGCCAAGGAATTCGCAGGCTTCAGCGTAAACTGCCGCAGCACTGGCCACCTCCGGTGACAGCACAGTGCCCGCAAATCCTCCAAAGCAAAGCATATCTAGGGGGAAAAAAAAGAAGTAAAAAATTAGAACTCATATATATTCATGATATGATAATAACATTGATAGGCGAGGTAACACTTTGGTACGAGATTAATTTTCTTCTTTGTCGATCATGTGACGTAACGAGACAAATATCGAGTTTTTCTCTCCTTTTTTTACATTTAAGACTACATTTAGGATTACATCTACTAAAATATGGGCTGTAACAAAACGGATAATGTATATGAATGTTATTTTTATCTTCGCTTTAACGATGTTTACGACAGAAATTGACTTGTAAACAAATAAGGCAGACTTGGTGAAATTGACATGTGTTTGACTCGATAGAGAAATCAATAATTATAAATTACCTCGTAGTACATCATCTGTAAATCCTCGTATCGCAGCTATTTGAAAGTCGTTAACCACGACTTACGAAAGGATCTACCAGACTTGGGGGCCTTAGCAGATGCGCCTGTCTTGCGTTTCTTGTCGGAGGTGATGTATCGCACCATTGTGAATTGTGATATTGCTGACTGCATGGTTCAAGGTATGTATTGCCAAGTCTTGACAAGGTTTCACTCAATTGACACAAAATGAACTCATCTTAATTAATCCTTGAGCTACGGCTCCAATCAGTGTCACTAACCTGTGTTGTTTGATGATGACCGATAGCGTCCAATCACCCTTGCAAGTAGTGTACACACTAGTTAACAACAAAAACACGTGTCAGTCTGGCTGCAGCTCTGTATTTTGTATCCTTTGTTATGATATACGGTCTCAGGTTGTAATGTCCGGCTAATACTTTTTTCGAAAATGTCTGTTTGCAAATTATAAAATGTCTGGTTGGCCCTATTTCAGTCACAGTCGGACAAGTCCGGCTCACAGACCGGTGTCCTCATCCCTTGTGATAACTGTTCGCTCGACAGCACCTACAGATCACGCTCAACAGTTAAGGAGAACTTACTTTCCCTCAAACCTCCTTTTCCTTCTATATTGCCATGGAAGAACAGGAACCAGGATGAGGGGAGGCCAGACGGGCTCTATCCCTGCTGCATTGTGTTAGTAGAATTGTGAACTTTCCATTTGGTGTTTGGGTGCACATTTAAAGACAATAAGTCCCATTTATCATTCCTTTCAAGTGTTTACCACATGGCCCAGGAAAAGAATTTCTTGAATGTCCTGGAATGGTCCCACTCCAGCTTGGCATTGGTTGGTCTTCTCACATTAGCCAGACCAGCCTGTGTGAGTGTGTCCCAGTGCCACTTGGCATACTACTTCTTGGTCGGCTTCCATTGAAATAACAGGACCCCTGTCATCGATGTCTGCTTTAGTTGCATGTTCCGGGAACTGTCCTTTCACTGTTTTCACTTCCTCTGATGTTGCTCTGATAGTCTTTTGTTGATGAGGGAGCACGGGTGGCCCAGTTGTCTGAGTCAGTTGTTTGGACATGTACCAGCATTGTGCCATCCTCCCACCACATTTGCTTGTTCAATGGGTTGGTTATGCAAGGTTTACATAAACAATGTCGACACTCTTCCTCTTCCGCTCTGTGCTGCACAATGAATTCTTGCTCATCATCATGATCATGATCTGGTGTTGTTGATATATCAGTAGCTGATGGCACAGCCACTACACTGGGCACCTCTATGACATCAGTAGCTGATGGTGACAGATTTATAATTCTTCTTCTGCCTGGTTCGAGAGTTTCTGGCATGCCATTGTGAGGTAAAGTCCCGGTCAACATTCTCATTCAATGACACACGGCTACCTGAGAAAGCATATTATAGATAGTGTCAAAAAATGATAATCACATCGCTCTGAATAACTGCACAAGCCACGACAATCCGAGCACTGTGAGTGAGGGATTGAAGGGGAGAGGGCGTGTTGGCACGCCATACATACTGGCCGAGGTGTGGGCTGCTTGTCCATTCCTGGAGGCCCTAGAGGAAACTTCTGTGGGAGTCCCCTTGAGATTCCCCCGGGAAAATTGGGTGGGATCCCACTGGAATCTTGGTCAGAAAATTGGTTCTGATCTTAGTGGGAAAGTTGGTTGGTATCCCACTCAAATGGTGGGACAGCAGTGTCTGCTCTGGCTTAAATTTTCTTGGGGTCACTTGGACCCCTTCATCATAAAATTAGGGGTCCCAGAAAAAATGGAGGGGTCCATTATTATACAACAAACAACAGAACCCAATGGTTGTGAAAATTCAGAACTCTTTTCGCACCTGCAAAACATGAACAAACAGGCCAAGTGACAGAAGGGCTTATACATCAAGGCACATCCTGCACTCATGACTCAACAAAGAATGAGTTATTAACAACTAAATACAACTGTTAACAGTAACTGTAGTCCTGGTATTTCCAACAGGTCACCGCCGTAAAACCATCAGCAGAACAACTTTCTCTTTTTGTCCCTTCTCCATTTCGTGACGGCTGGTGCAAGAGATACTTCCCTTACAGGAGGCCCCAGAGCCAGCTGCATCAGAGTGTCCAGCCGCTGTGATGACAGACGGTTTCTGTGGGACCTCTTTATCAGGTTTTGTACACTGAAGCCCCTCTCAACAGTTGCTGTTTGGAGGGGCAAAAGGACAGCCACTTGTGCAATTTTGCACAGGTTAGGGAATGTGTCAGGGTGTCTTGAAGTCAGTATCTGCCATAACTGACAGATGCTAGTACATGGATAATGTTGCTGATGCACCATATCCTTGCACATTGACCATTCTCTCAAGGTCTCCTCAGCATCTACAAAGGCCTTATCACCAAGACTGTAGAAGTCAATGATATTTTGAAGCTGCTCCGTTCCCCAGTGTTTTCTAGCATCTGCAACAACAAATCAAACTTTCATAAATATTACCGTATTTTCTTGAGTATAGTGCGCACCCATGTATAATGCGTACCCCAAAATGAGACCAGTTACAGAGTTGTGAGATGTTTGTATCTTCAAAATCTGAAATGGCTCCTTTTTCTTAAAAGAGCAGACTGAAAAATATTTAATTTGCTTAAAATGAATCTAGTCTAAAATAGTTTGTGGTTTTTTTTGCAAATATCTTGTGAATGTATTGTAGTTTATTGAAACCTTGTCTGTTTTCACCAGGATGACACATTTTACAGTTGTATTACCTTCTGACAAGAAAGACAGTCCCCTTAGTGACAGTACTGACATGCATGTCACAACATCAGTAGCCACAGCTGGGAATCTGCACTCAAGCTCGCTCATGAGATTTTGAAGGAAAGCAGCTCTAATATTTGAGAATTGCTTCTCAATGCCAGCCTCTGATGATATTTCGACACCATCAAACTCGCGGCTTCCCCTAGGACACTGACTTTCAAACTGGACCAGTGCAGGACCATTGTCTTCCTTCAAATACTGCAGTCGCTAGAACAGAATAACATTCAAAATTAGACTTTAAAATATATTATCAACCATGAGCTTTACTTTTTTATTAAGTAAATGGATCCCTAGTCAGAGCCTATTGATTGTTTCAAATTTGAAGATAATTTTGCTTAAGATATTGTTTGGTTTAAATTGAATGCAAACATATAACTTTATGACACCTGTGTAACAGCATCAATGGATGGCCTTAGTGCAGCAAGATCTATGTCATCCTTCTGAAACTGGAGGCTTAGCCTGGTCATTGTGGGGATGATGTCCATCAGAAGGTGAAGGACAAGGAGGAACTTGTATGAGGAAATGCGTTGCAAGATGCCTTTCGCAGTACTGTTGTTGGTTTCAACACGCTCACTCTCTAGGAACAGAGCCAAGGGCTTCCAAGTTCAGAAACATAAATTATAGATCAATATTCTTTATGTAATTCTATTGTATAGATTAAGATTTTGTAAGAACTTCAAGAATATATATTAATTTCATTACTTATTTTTAGCTCGAAACTGGAGAGTATATTTTAGAAAATGTAACTTACCTAAATACAGCCTCCAAAGCACTGTAGATTGAGAACCATCGGACATTGTGAATCTCTTTGTAAGTAACATTGTCGAATTCAAGTACCTCCTCTAATGCATAAAGACGCTCCCGTCTGACAGAAGATTTCTTGAAGAAATAGAACACGTCCGATAAGGTGCCTTGAAATTTCTTCAGGTAAGGAACTTTTTCAGCAGCCTGGCTGGTGACTAGAGCAAGGCGGTGAGCAATACAGTGGACACTGACAACAGGTACAGCTGACTCCTTGTTGAGCAGTGCCACAAAACCATTCTTTCGTCCAGTCATAACAGCGGCCCCATCTGACCCCACAGCTATGATTTTGGACATCGGAATACCACGATCATGTAAAGTTTTCTTAACAGCCCCTAGGAGAGTATTAGCCTTGCCATCAGGAATTTGCACATTTGCAAGAAAATTGGTTTCAACATCAAAGGATGAAGTGAGTGATCTCGTGTATATCAGGAGCTTCTTTGTAACTGATATGTCTGTGCTTTCATCAATCAATATGGACAAGCAAGGACTGGCACTGATCTTGTTGGTTACTGAGTCGCGAAGGGAATCAGCAATGGCATCTTGCATGTCGTCAACTGCACAGTGAGATGTGTATTTCATCAAGTCTGAATCACCACCTAATGTTTTTGGAAATGACAAACCATGCAGCATGCATAATTCCATCAATGCAGAACATTTGGATGAGGCAATTTGTTCCTTAGCAAGCCAATATATGTTCAACATTGCAGATCGAACTGCATATTCTTTGTCACTCAGCACTTTTGAGACAACTGTGGACATCTCCTGTCTTAGACATGTAGCCTGAACAGCAGATTTGTGGTCATCAGCTTTCATGTGCCTGACCAGTGTGGAATGCCTATAATTATGGCAGCCAACAGTGAATGCGTTGGTTTTGGTGTCACAAACACAAACATCACAAGTCATTCCAAGTGAACTGTCAAATCGTAACCAGTTGTATTTCTTTAGCCAATCACTTTGGAAACGTTTTTCCACTTTTGCCTTCTTTGCAGGGGTTGAAAAATTATTAAAAATGTTACTTGACCAAGGTCAAGTATGACCAACATTCTCACTTGCCCTATTTTAAAATGTACTAGCCCAAAATCAAGCTAATAAATTTGAACATCCATCAATAAACGTTCTCTTACGATTGCAAGCGTGTATGTTTGGGTCCTTGAAACAAATGGTGCACTTCATGACTTTCGCTGTGTCATCATACGCAACCCAAGGAAACTGGTCTTTCCACCCAGCGATGAATGTTCGTTTTCGTTTACATTCGTCATACTTCTTATTCTTTGCCGATATACAACTTTCGGAATTTCCCTCTGCCTTTGTCCCCACCGCCAAAGAAACTTAAAATAGACCGCTGAGACATGATCGGCCATGTGCGGTACTGGCAATATAAATTGTTATTGCAGATACCCCTCTGGGTGCTAATGAGGCAAAGGGAGACTACTCTGTCCTTTACTAGCTTACTTATTTGAAACAACAGATTTACTTACAGTGATCCCTCGCTATTGCACTCTTCAATATAGCGCTAACTCGGTTATTGTGTGCGGTAACACATGGTTCCCAAAACTTATATACACTTTTAGTAAACTCAAGTCACTGACACGATGTCATTTCCCCATCGCAAAAACATTACCACCTGCACGCAACACAGGAAATACCAATCAACAAATTCCGCAATTAAATCCTATTATTACTATCTGGTTATAAAAAAACACGTTTGTACCTTGACATATGTTTGTAGCATATTTTATTAATTTTATTTTAAATTTTATTCAATACAGTTTAGATCAATTTTGCCGAAATCGTGCGTAAAGGGGTCGATAGATCGCACAACTCGCCGTTATTTACAGCAACCACGGTCAGGTTATCGCTATTGACGACTCGAATGAACTTTAGTTGACAACGAAAAGAAACACCTATTAAATAAATGCCATACTTTCACTCGTTAAAAGTCCCGTTTGTTGTAGTTCGACAAAATTATATTTCATCAAAGCTAGGCCTAACGGAGCATCTAAAGTCGGAAAATGTTTCAACCTCGCGTTACAATTTCCAAGAAATTCCATTTCCAAGAAACATGTGCCATATATGGAAGTGTTACTACGATTTAACAATGAAACAAGCCTGGTTCTCGTTGTTGACCTGTCTGACATCGAAATGTATTAATCCCATTGGTTGACTGGCGTAGCTGTATGCAAATTACATTGTCAGTCTGCTAACAAAATATTAGCCAGTCAAATACCGTAACATGATCACATGATTACATTCGCGTGAAACTTGACCCAGTTCAATTTGGGTGCTCTACTTGTCCACGGGCATGCTAGAAAACGTATATTACACGCCCGACATCTAAACCTTACTTGGCACGGGCGTCGGGCAATGGTATTTTTCAACCCCTGCTTTGGTACAGGTTCCTTATGTGTGTCATTTGATCCAGATTTGTCAATTTGTATCGGTATATGACTGTCATTTTTGCCAAACCAAGTCACTAAACTTGCCTGTATACGATGGCTGGTCATCGCTGTAGCTGTCAAAACTTTACTATCGTATCGTAGTAAACTTCCTTATAAGGATATGATGTGTTTCACAGAACAAGGTAAAATGACAAACTTACGTAGATATTGATCATATATTCACATACAGTGACAAACTTTTTGAAACAATAACACGTAAAGTCTGTTGTAGAATAACTAAATATCTAGAGTCGGCTAAATAAAAACAAAACTCACATTCAAGTTTTCACATTTATTCTTTATGATATACACAGTCGCTCGATTTCGCGGGCCTGTTACCACGTTCTGAAGTATACCCTTGATGTGAATATTTTTAGTTTGACACACGGTCGGGATATTTTCGACCAATCATCAAGCTAAATGAATTACGACTGTATCCGACCTGCTTAATATGGGGCACCTGATTGGCTGAAGCAAAGCTACGGACCATACCGAACATTAATATATGCAAAACCGAAAATAGATATAGGTCAAGAAACCGGTTTGGGTATTTGTCATAAAAAGGGAGAGAATAATGAAACTGGTTTGGTTTAGCAAACGGAAGTGTTAATCAACATGCTTCGCTGTCTTGTTTGGCAACAAACTTTAACGTAAAGACGTACGTCTTTGAATCACGATAACAGTGTCAAATCGGTATGAAATTAATAACGCCCCAGTCACTGCGTCCACGAGACCCACACATGTTACGCAGGTGCGTTCAAACTTATTTTTGTGCGTCCAAGACGCAAAAACGCGCTCTTCAGCCAACACTGGGACAGTCAAAAAAATTCTCTTTATCTTAAAAACAGATGAAGTCAACAGTTTATCTCCCTGTTCACCACAATCAGTGTACCTCAATCATCCACCTGTATTACATACCATAGAAATCAAGTCAACAGTTTATCTCCCTGGTCCCCACAATCAGTGTACCTCAATCATCCACCTGTATTACATACCTGACAGATCAAGTCAACAGTTTATCTCCCTGGTCCCCACAATCAGTGCACCTCAATCATCCACCTGTATTACATACCCAAGAGATCAAGTCAACAGTTTATCTCCCTGGTCCCCACAATCAGTGCACCTCAATCATCCACCTGTATTACATACCTGACATAAATATTTACGTCATTACTTATAACCTATAATTAAATTCGATTCGATTGTAAGGTGGGGGAAAACTTGCCAACAGCGTCAAAAGTAAAGATAACCCAAAACTGTTCTGAGACAACAGCTTATTACATAACATATATGTCAAATACAGTTTATAAGTCACAATTTGGGACATTAACAATATAATCGTACCGATAAACCCGATTATTAAATAGTTGTTTATATGACGAACTTACCAGTCCGTGTTCCCGAGTCTTTCGATGTTGACATCATCTGGTGCCTCCGTTTCGCTTGAGTCTTCTTCACTGGAAGTTTCCCTTGCAAGATGTAAAATCGGCTCGTACTGATACGGCCTAACATCAATATCAAAAATGACATCGGGAACGTCTTTTACTGCTTCAGAATCCATGGCTACTGTCAAGTTGTCACGTTAGTTCTGTGGGAAGCTATCGGCAATAGGCACATATGACGTCACGTCACGTGATACCCGCTTCGGCTCATTAACTGCCGGGTGTTCCATGTAGGTGGAAGTACGAGTGTGTTTTTACGTATTTATTGCCATTTTACCAACTTTATGTCAAAAATTTTATCGTGGAAAGTGGCCTTTAGAATGCTTTTACACTTATGAAAAAAATGTTTTTGCCTTAGTATTCTCCTTTAAACACATACAACATGTACAAAAGGATTTTATATTTTATAAACATTTTAGAAATTACTGTATCTCTGCAAAGTCACCAATTTTGATAAAACTTGCATATTTTAAAAACAGCCAATATGCTTTATCAGCAATGTTGTTGAGAGCCAAATCTGATACCATCCAAAGACAATCTCACTGGCTCACCCACCCCTATAATAAATGACCAGTCCCAAAGAAAATTTGTTTTCTGAAATATGATTGCAGTTCCTATGTGATAAACTGGTGACTGTAGGGGGTCTGGGACTTATTGAAAAAACATATTGTCCCAGAAAATGTTTAAAAAAATAATCATGCTTCACACAGGAAAATATGAAATTGTCTGTCTTAAATTGTTGCAAGGAGTTATTTTGTTGAAAAAAATGGATCCTAGTTGTTATATTAACAAATTATCTTGTCTCCATACAATGTCCAAAATCCTCCTCTCTCTCTTAGGTCATTTAATAGTTATGTGCAAGGTCATAACCTTAGCATGACATGAGGTCAGCCAATGAGACTAGAGAACAACTTTCACGCCACACAATACTGACAAATAGCGAGTCTGGAGCCGACGCGCGTAATTCGAGAAAATGGAAATCAATGTAACAGATACATCATTGTTGCCCGTTGAATTTACAGATAATGTTGTTTTTTCTGTTATAGCAAAACATTTTCAAGCTGATGGGAAATCTGTTACTGATTATAAAAATACCAATTTCATCACAATATCGGACTCGATTAATGAAGGCTAAACAATACCACCGACTGTAAGCTGTTACATGTACTGATGTAGTATAAATGGAATATTGTGAAATGATTTAATTTTGTACTTAATCAAGTTATCAACGGTCAACTGTAACGGTTATGCCTATGGAAAACTAGGCTTCTGCCAAAGTAGATCTAGCCCGCTTACCTCGTCCGTTTGTCGTTTCCTAAATGCTCCCAGTGTAACGCAAGGCAAACCATCGACAAAACTTTTGGTCCTGAATTTCGTGGGGACTGCGTCCTTCTTCAACCTGGCTTTTTGATGTTCATACCCCATGTGTGCAAGGCGAAATGGGTCTCTTTCATAGGCATCCGCGTCGAAATGGTCGGAACATAACACAGCATACTTGCTTGGCTTCCAGTTTTTCTCCCCACGTTGGCACCTGTGTATCCAAACCTTTCTTCTGCCTAAATCTGTCTTTTCGCTTGGAAAGCGGAAGAAATGGTGACTATTTCCATTGTTGGATGACGTCGTGCAACCCCAGGCAACACAATAAACCATCTTATCAAGTACAAAA